ATCCCGTTCTTGGCTGAGCGGACGGATCTCGTGGCCCTCCTGGACGAGTTCGCGAGTCGTTTCTTCGACGAGCTGGACTACGTCAAGGAGTGCGCCAACGGCGTCGCCATCAGGGACCAGATGCAGCACATCAAGCAGGTAGAACCCGGCCGTTGTTGTTGTTGTTGTTGGTGGTGGTGGGTGGTGCTTGTTTGCGTTGCCTACGTATGGATGCTGCTGTTGATATGGTGCTAATGTTGGTGGAGCTGTTCTTGCTGGTGCTGTTTCTAGTCTCCCTTAGCATGAGTTGAGAGGGGTGGCCAGGAGGGAGGAAGTGAGGCACGGCGCCCAGGCTCGAAGAACCTACGTAGTTGCGAAGCGCCCGCGTCGAGGGGTGGGCGCACAAAGAAAACACCAGACGACCGACCCCCGTTCGGGCATTCGGGGTCGCCGACCGTTGTTGTTCTTTGGTGTGTCCTCCGTGACCCCCCCCTCTCACGTCTATGCTGTTTTTCGCAATGATCGTCTCGCATCCCCGCCCTATGTTATCCTTGTGAACCGTACCGTAGCCTGGGCCGACGAAAACCCAGCATATCGCTCCGTCCGTCCCGGCGTTGTAAGGACGCGAGGTCAATGGTCAACAGCATGCATTTGTGTGTGTACCCCCCCCCCCCCTTTTCCTCTTGGCGTCGCCGTAAAAAGGTGGTGGTGCCATTCAACTACCCGGAGTTCACGACCAGGCGCGTGTTTGTGTCGGAGTGGATCGACGGCGAGAAACTTAGCCAGAGCAAGGCGGACGACGTGCAGGACCTCGTCAACGTCGGAGTCACGGCCTGTGAGAGAGAGTCGTGGACGTTTGCTTTTGTGTGCACCGGCTGCAAGCGGGGCCTAGGCCAGGCCGAAGTTGTGCGAGCGCTGTTCCTTTTTGGTTTCTTTAGAGGGCAGGACAGTCGTACGAGTATTGGTCCTTCGTTTCTTTGGAAGGCAGGCCAGTGGACGAGTGTTGCCCCTTTAAAAGGGAGGTGTTGTTGTTCACTCCCATCTCGTCCATGTCAGAGTCAGGAGAGTCGACGCTGTTGGTCTGCGACCGCGGCAAAGGCTCGGCTAAGTTCCATGAGTGCTGTTTGGAAGGCAGGCCAGTTGACAAGAGTTGTTCCTTTGGAAGGGAGGCGGTCTTGTTCACTCCCACCAGGTCGGAGTCGCGCCCTGTGAGAGAGGTGACGCTGTCAGTCTGCTCCGGCTGCAACAGAGGCTAGACCAGGCCAAGGTTGCGCGAGTATTATTCCTTTCGGAAGGGAGGGAGGGTGGCTTTGTTCACTCCAGTGGTGTGTGGTCGTGTGATTCGGAGCGTGGTCTGCTGCGACCGACGATCTCAAAACTGCGGCCACGTGAAAAAACAGCGAGGGCAAAAAGCCTGCCTGCCCACCGATGTTCGCCTGCACATTGCCGACGTCTGCGCTCGAAGAGAAACGGGGTCGCCCTGTTTTGCGGTCTAGAGATGTTGGCGTTTGCCCGCATATGATGGATGACATTTAATCATCTTCTTTTGCGCAGTTCCGGAAATTTCATTGTGAGCAATGGTTTATTGTGAAGGCTTAGCACAATTCGGAAATTTATTAATGTGAGAAGAGGCGACGTCATACCAAGCAGGCAGACGCGCCGCTTGCGAGCAGAGGAGTTGGAGGGTTTGAACCTTGCAACCTCTAGCTTGGCTGCTAACCTATTCAAACTGAACGAAGTGTAGATTGACCGGGCGCTTTTTTTTCGGAACCCCGTACGTTTTTTGTTGTTGTGTGCACCTGCGCAGGTATTTCACACGTTACCCGATTAGCAGAGATTAGCAGAGAGCACTGGGGGTTGATGGACGCAGGCTACCGAACGCACCTCTTGCTGTACAGGTTTTCGCAATGTATCTAATTTTTCGGACGGAGAGGCCTACCGTTCTCACTCCTCATTGCTCCTTCCGTCCTCTTGTCTGCGGTACCTTTGTCTGACTCACTCCCTCTGTCCCCGTACCTTCTTCTCCCTACCGTCGGCCGTAATTTGTTTTTCTTCCCATCGCGACTGGTGCGTTGATCGGGAGTCAGACCTCACCCAGCTGCTCGACACGGGCTTCTTCCATGCGGGTTAGTGGGCAGTGTGAGGGGTGTGAAGGTATTTAAGGGGCGGAGGTTGTCTGCGACCCTGCGAGGGTGGCGGGGCGTGCGTTGCCGACGCTTCGACTACGAATGGCCTACTGCTGCAGGGCTTCCAACGAGTGTTTGGAACGTTAAGCGTGTTGCGCAGTTCTCGAACAACAACACCTCCCCCTTCGCGCCCTTCTCACCCCGGACGCTGCTTTTTGACTGTTGACACGCAGCGATTCGTCTGCAACGTACGCCTAGCATGGTCAGCGAACAAATCCTGAGACCCTCCCTTTGTTCCCCCGACGGTGCCTTTGGGTATTCGTTTCGTCCGCGTCTTTCCATTCGTCCCGCCAAAACGTGATGGTGTGCGTGTTTTTTCTTGTTTCTCGTCAGACCCCCATCCGGGTAACCTCATCCGAACCCCGGACGGCAAGCTGGCCATCCTCGACTTTGGCCTCATGACGCAGATCACCGACAACCAGAAGTTCGGCATGATCGAGGCGATCTCGCACCTGGTTCACCGCGACTACGAGGGGATCGGGGACGACTTCAAGCGCCTCGACTTTATCCCCGAAGAGGTATTTTGCATTTTTTTTCATCAATTTTAATGTCAGCGTTCGCAGCGCGATGTATATGGGTGTACAGGGAGAACTACTTATCCTGGACTCGTATTTTCTGTGGAAAGATGATGGAGACGATATTTTTGGCATGTGTTGTTACAAATATGTTTATAAAGAGGCGCGTGAGAATTATTTAACAACACTGCCCCACAAGAGCCTCCTCCCCCCCCCGGTGCCTTCTCGATTGGTTAGCCCTGTCCCCCCTGTTACTCTCTCTCTCTCTCTCTCTCTCTCTCTCTCTCTCTCTCTCTCTCTCTCTCTCTCTCTCTCTCTCTCTCTCTCTCTCTCTCTCTTTCTCTCTCTCTCGCTCTCTCTCTCTTTCTCTCTCTCTCTCTCTCTGCCCCTCTCTCTCTCTCTCTTTCCCTTCTCGCTCTCTGTGCACGATCTCTCCTGTGCATAACGTTTCGGCGTGTGCTGGACAGCCGCTGCTTTTGACATCCGCGCGTGCTCCTACTACGGTCTTTAAAAAAATTGGCCAATCAGAAAACTGCGGGCGTCTTTTCTCTCTCTCTTTACCACTGTACCTACCTCACCAGGTGGACGTTACCCCGATCATCCCGGCCCTGACGAACGTGTTCAACATGGCCCTCGCCGGCGGTGGCGCTAAGAGCATCAACTTCCAGGCCTTGGCTTCGGACCTGGCGCAAATCACCTTCGAATACCCCTTTCGCATCCCGCCGTACTTCGCGCTCATCATCAGGGCCATCGGCGTGCTGGAAGGGATCGCGCTGGTAAATTGAGAGAAAGGGAAGGGGGCTTGATGCGTGATTTTTTTTACTTTGGTTGAGGAGCGACCATCATTATCTACGTGCTTGGCGGGATTTTACGCTCGGAGCACATGGAAGGGAGAGTCTCGACCAATACCGTGTGCTGTTTGGCGCGTGGCGGGAGAAGCAGACGTACTGCTGTGCCTTCCAACCAAGCGGTTGATATTTTTCATACTTGATGAGATGACGCTGCCTTTATATATATATATATATATTTTTTTTTTTTGTGACGAACGCCGCGGTCGGTCGTGAAAAAAACACACACACACACACACGCACTGCGACTGTCGTCTTTTCATTGGTCAGCCGGTTAGCGCGGTCGATGCCACTAAGAAACAAACACACACACACACACACACACATAATCTTTTCTTCTGTTGCTGCTGTTTCTGTCTTTGATCCGAAGGATAGTTTAGCCTCCCCCATGCTGCCCCCTCACGGGGTCCCAGTTCATGGCAGATAGAAGTGTTTTGTGTTTTCAACCGCACTGAGACTGACGTATTTTCATTGGTCAGCCGGTAAGCGCGGTCGATGCTAATAATCAAAACACATACACACACACACGCACACACACATACACAGGTGGGCAACCCCGGCTTCGCTATCGTGGACGAGGCCTACCCCTACATCTCCAAGCGCCTGCTGACGGATGACAGCCCCAGGCTCAGGGAGGCCCTCCGCTACATGATCTACGGCAAGAGCAATGTCTTCGACGTGGAGAGGTTGATCGACCTCCTTCAGGTGCGCCTGAGCGTTGATTTTTCTCTCTCGTTCCCCCCTCCTTTTTTTTTTTTGTATTTTTACATAGGCCATCCCTTGGGGTTCTAGTCGGTGGCTAAATAATAGCATGGACCGTATACTTACGAAGTACTTTGTATATATATATTTTTTTCGTATGCGTTGAAGAGGTAAATTTGTGTTGTTGGGTTTTTTCTTGCCGACAGGGAGGGATTTTGGTTCGTCTTCGATTCATACGCCCGCACCGGTTCGGTCGTGTATTCCACAAGAAAGGGACTTGCCTCGTACCATGCGATAGCACGGCAACAAACCGTTACAGGAATTAATATTTGGTATGGCGTGTGTTGTCTTGAGAATTCTGTCGACCCTGCGTATCCTGTCTTCGCACCAACATGCGTGTGGGCCGCAAGCAGGAAGGCGTGTACAACCTCTCGTTGCTCATTGTGTACTGCTGTGCATTGCGGTAATTGTTTTTGTACGTTTTTTCTTTTGTTTTCAAGAGGCAACACCAAGAAGACACCCCCCCCCCCAACCCCCCCCTCGGGTTTGGGTTTTCGTCGCTTGGCAACGACGTTGTAAAACAAGCCGCCCCCCCCGGTGTTTGCCATCGGGGTTTGGGTTTTCGTCGCTTGGCAACGACGTTGTAAAACAAGCCCCCCACTCGGTGTTTGCCATCGGGATTGGGTTTTCGTCGCTTGGCAACGACGTTGTAAAACAAGCCAATTCACTTCGTGAACTCGGCAACCAGGTTACCGTTTTTTTTTTACCTCGTTTTTTTTTTTTGGCGGTAACCATAATGGTGGTCGAGTAGATCATGTTGTGCGGGGTGAGAAACCTCACTCCGCGCAACGGGGGATGATCGCACCACGTTGTGTTAAAATGGTCAAGCTTCCTCGAGGCAGTTACACAGTGCTTACAACTGTCTCTGGAAGTGAAAGCACCAGAAAATAAATTAAGTCATACGTAGCTGTCATCCGTACGCAAGGAAGTAAGCACAAGATGCCGAACACCCTTAGCAGGATGGCAGCTCACCCTTCATGCGACTCGCCAAATACCTCACGGCGCTTCGCGCTTGGTGATGTGAGAGCCTGGTCC